CTGGATATAGTAACCTGAGTTGGCATCTGTGGTCATTTAACACTGGGAATACTTTGGTCCAGTCTCTTCGGGTTACATAATTTGCAATGAAATGTCAGTTGTAATCCTAATGTGTTTTCTTTCATATGTGACTTATTTCTCTTTTGCAGCTTTCCGTATTGTCTCTTTGTTATGTACATTTAGTGTTTTTACTATGATGTGCCGTGGAGAGTTTTTTTTGTGATCCTGTCTGTTTGGTGTTCTATATGCTTCTTGTATTTGTATGGGCATGCCTTTCTTTAATTGTAGGAATTTTTCTTCCATGGTTCTGCTGAAGACCTGGTCCATGCCATTATCTTGGGATTCTACTCCTTCCTCTATGCCTATGATTCATAAGTTTGGTCTTTTTATGGTGTCACACAATTCCTGCGTATTCCATTCTTGTGATTTCTTAAACTTTTCATAATCTTTGCTTGAGTGGTCTAGTTCGTCCACTTTATCTTCCAATCTTGATACTCTGTTTTCCATTTCATTCATCCTATTGGTGAGGTTTTCTCCTGTTGTTTCTAATTGGCTTACTGAGTGTTTCACTTCCTTCTTCATTTCAGCCTGAGTATTCTTCAGTATTTCTCTTTTCTGAATTCATTCAGAAGTTTATCCCTATCTTCCTTCAGTTCTTTGATTTCTTTGTTTGTATGTTCTTTAAATTCACTGAGTTCTTTTATCATGTTTATAATTGTGAATGGGAGTAGTTCCCTGTATTCTTTCTCCAATTGCTTGTTACTGGTATATTGAAAGGCTACTGGTTTTTGTAGATTGATTTTATAACCTGCCACTATACTGAAAGTATTGATCAGTTCTAGGAGTTTTCTGGTGGAATTTTTGGCATCCCTTAGGCATAGTATCATATCATTTGCAAAAAGTGATAGTTTGAACTCTTCTTTTCCAATTAGTACTCCTTTAGTTTCCTTCTCCTATATTACTGCTCTAGCAAGAGTTTCAAGCACTATGTTGAAAAGGAGTGGAGATAGTGGAGAACCTTGCCTAGGAATGCTTCCAGTTTTACTCCATTTAGAATGATGTGAGTGGTGAGTTTGTTGTATATAGCTTTAATTATGTTGAGGTATGTTCCCTCCAGTCCAATTCTCTCTAGAACTT